TATTGAGATCAATTTCGACAGCATTATAAACGCCCTCTCCGTTGGGTTTTCAATGGGTAGCCATTTGTGTCTCATACTTGCTAATATTTTCGTAGGATTTCATGAGGGACTTTTAAGTTTGGAAATTTAGAAATCAGTTCAAAAAAGAAACTGATGGTTTCTTTTGACCTCTTTAGTTTGTATACAAATGTTGCCTTTCAGGACACCATACATATATGTTCCGAAGCTCTTTATAGAGGCCATTTTGGTGCTGAAAACTTTAGTATGCATGCGTCTGGAGACTGAAGGTGTTGAGTTTAGTTTCGAAAATATTATGTACGCCTAGAAAGATGAGGTTTCAATGTATAGTCATTTGAATCATATTCTTGCTAATATTTTCGTAGGATTTGATGAGAGACTTTTGTTTAAAATGTTCCGTAAACCCTGCGTTTATATGCTGTACGTTGATGATACCTTTTCCATTTTTGATTCTGCCAGTGACGCCATGCTCTTTTTTGCAGAACTCATTTCTTTCCATTCATCTCTTCAATTTACTATGCCTGTTAAGAGGAATGGTACGTTCCTCTTTTTAGATGTTCTGCGAGAACGTAAGGATGATGCGTTTGCAACTAGTATTTTTCGTCAACCTACGTTCAAAGGCTTGTATACAAATTGAGATTCTTTCGTTCCTAAGGCTCGCAAGATTGGTCTAGTTTCCACCTTGGTCTATCATGCTTTAATGATTTCCTCTCCAAGCATGTTAAACGGAGAACTTGCAAGGATCCAGAAGATTTTTGTAGAAAACGGTTTTCCTGCTAATATCTCTAACCGTGTTATCGAACGTAAAATCAGGCGTTTTGAAGAACCAGTAGTTTTAGGACAGAGCCGGTGCCCAATTTATCTGAAATTGCCATGGTTGGGTAAGAAGTGTTTCCATCTTTTAATAAAGATTGGTTATCCTATTTTCAGAATAGCTCTGTTATATACAAATTTAAATGCCGTTGTGATGCGGTATATATAGGAGAGACCAATCAAAGTTTGGAAACTCACATTACACAATACGTGTCTGCTTATTTACGATCCAGTAGTCAGTCGTTTATTGAGAACCACCCTATCTGTTCACAACTCGTCCATTGGACAACGTTTGTTAGACAAACCGGACAGTGCCACCAAAAATAATGACACATGTTTTCTCTGTTTTATATAGCGCTATATATATATATATATATTTACAGTGAACTAAAGAATATAAAACAAACACTTATTAATAATAGCTTTCCAAACTATATAGTTGATGAACAAATAAGATGCTTTTTTAAGAAATATCAATACCAAGCAAATAGAACATAATACTGTTTCAACTAATCCCAAACATATTAATCTCCTATATCGTAGTCAAATGCATACTAATTGTAAACAAGATGAAAATACACTAAAAAATTAGTAAATACTGATATATCTACAACAGACCCTAGCAAAAAAAAGGTTAATCATATGCTACACGAAATCTACTATATCCAACTTAATTATTCGCAATGATTCTTTTCCCCACCCCGTTAGTGATTTGCAAAAAATCCAACATAGTTTACAAATTCAAGTGCCCTTTAGGAGATTGTATCACCAATGGATTAAACAATATTTATGTTGGTCACACAATAAACTCGCTTTCACGACGCTTGACTCTACATTTGAATGATAACTCTAAGATTTTTAGGCATTTAAAACAATATGCCTGGCCGCGGACACAATTCCGGAAAATCCTCGTTGAAAACACAACTATACTTAAACATGAAAACAATAAACAAAATCTAAAAGTTCTTGAAGCTATATACATAAAACAATTGAAACCTAACCTGAACAAAATAAATTACGAAATCTCCACAAATACCTATAATTGATAACAGAAGTCATTGGTTTATACCAACGGCTTCTCATATTTAATACTTCTCTTGCGTGGTCATGTGTGACGTCACGAGCTGCGATGCAATTTTCGCTTCCGCGTCTCGTATACACGAATTAGTCGTTGCTTTGAAATTTTTCATGCAACAAAAACAGACTATCATTATTGTTTCGTCAGTGTATTATTTGATAAATTGAAATGCAATTGTCCTCTTTGATAATGGCTTATGTAAGCCGAAAGCTTAGATAGGATTAAAATATGTATCAATATAGTGATTTCCTTTCGTCTTTCAATGATAATGTTATTAAGCTTATCAGACAATATGAAAGGAACTCACTTAAAATAAATAGACAAAACTTGTCTATATTATTTAATGAAATGCATCAATATATATATATATATATATATATATATATATATATATATAGAATTAATGGATTCATTTTAATCCGGGAATTTAATTAATTATAAATGTTATTATAGTGTATGCTCGTCTATAGACGCCCCATTTAATACTGTTAATATATATATATATATATATATATATATATATATATATATGTACCTGCCTATTTACAATCCAGTAGTCAGAATCGTTCATTAAGGACCACCAAATCTGTACACAACTTGTCTGTTGGACAACACTTATTTCACAACCTAGTCTGTACTGCCAAATATGATGACACATTTTTTTTCTGTTTTATATAGACCTCGCTCTGTATACACCTTAGTTTTCTCAAAGGTGTATACACCAAATTATATTAGCCCAATTTATGTATTGTAAACAAAAGAATCATTTCATCCGATTCTTGTGTTTGTTTGGAGGAGGAGAAAACTTTTTTTTCTATTTTATGGTCTTTTGGAACCTTTTAATATCTGTTTTTAATCATCGATTATTAAACAATTAAAATTTGTTTTGAACGTGTTCAAATTTATCCCCCTTGCTCTCTATTTTTGTAATTGTGTCTGTAGTTTTGTTTAATTGTGCCAACGTCCAAATTTTGAAAAAGTGTTGGTTGAAAGGGAACCCTTCAAGGTATATAAAAGAACATATAATGGCGTTGTCTTTATTTAAATCTCTCTCTCTCTCTCTCTCTGCTTGTCTGTGTGTCCCCCCTCTCTCTCTCTCTCTTTTATATATATATATATATATATATATATATATATATGGAAGACTGTTTTTAATCTATCTATCTATCTATCTATCTATCTATCTACCAATTCTTGTTCATAGAGATTTAATTATGTAAGATATCTATATATTTATCGATCTGTCTACCTTAATCTACATCGGTTCTATTCATATCCATTTCTGTGCATAAATTTGAAACAAGATATTGATTCTTTGAGACTATTTCGGAATTGAAAATAAAGAACTTGTTCACTTAAGAGAATCTAATTGCATATATGACAGGCTAGGTATAAACATCCTATGGGAAGTATAGAAACCATCATGTCGATAAGTCATATAAACGCAGATCAATGGTAACAGATCTTTGGGATTCGAACGGAACAGCCAATCCAGAACATAAAACTGATCTCGTAGTTATAAAGAAGAAGGAGGAGGAGAAGGAGGAAGAAGGAGTAGGAGGAGGCAGAAGAAGGAGGGGTGGTTGAAGAAGAAAAAGAGGAGGAAGGAGAAGAAGAAAAAGAAGGTTAGAATGAGAGAAGAAGAAGAAGAATAAGAAGGAGGAGGAGGAGAAGGAAGGGGAGGTTAAAGAAGGAAAAGAAAAAGGAGGAGGAAGGAGAAGAAGAAGAAAAAGAAGGTTAGAGGAAGAGAAGAAGAAGAAGAAGGAGGGGGAGGTTGAAGAAGGAAAAGAAAAAGGAGGAGGAAGGAGAAGAAGAAGAAAAAGAAGGTTAGAAGAAGAAGAAGAAGAAGAAGGAGGAGGAGGAGGCAGAAGAAGGAAGGGGAGGTTGAAGAAGGAAAAGAAAAAGGAGGAGGAAGGAGAAGAAGAAGAAAAAGAAGGTTAGAGGAAGAAGAAGAAGAAGGAGGAGGAGGCAGAAGAAGTAGGAGGAGGTTGAAGAAGGAAAAGAAAAAGGAGGAGGAAGGAGAAGAAGAAGAAAAAGAAGGTTAGAAGAAGAAGAAGAAGAAGAAGGAGGAGGAGGAGGCAGAAGAAGTAGGAGGAGGTTGAAGAAGGAAAAGAAAAAGGAGGAGGAAGGAGAAGAAGAAGAAAATGAAGGTTAGAAGAAGAAGAAGAAGAAGAAGGAGGAGGAGGAGGAGGCAGAAGAAGTAGGAGGAGGTTGAAGAAGGAAAAGAAAAAGGAGGAGGAAGGAGAAGAAGAAGAAAAAGAAGGTTAGAAGAAGAAGAATGTCAAATCGTTAAATCCGGCTGACCACAGATTAAATCTAAAAAAAAAACGAGTAAATATTTTGACTTTGTCAGATACGTGAGGAAGTAGCGTAACGTGAAAGTGTCAGTCGTGCCAATCATTATAGGAGTGCTGATGGAGATCCCAAATACTGTAGGAAAAAGTTATTGCAACTATTGCAACCTATGGCAATGTTATAAACCTTCTAGAAGACAAATTACTGGAATATTTAGAAAACTTGCTGTCATATAGCAGCTGTTATTAATGGTGTGAACACACAATGAGTGGATAGTAATGGCAAAACAGGACGATGAAGAAGGCATTAGGTTATTCTGAAACGGAAAAGAAGAAGAGAAAAAAAGAGTGTACGAATAGGAGTCCAAATGAAAGAATTGCAGATGAAATAGGTTGAGCAGAGGTCATTTCAAGAGGGAAACGATTATGTAATATGGAGAAAAGAGTAAATGCTGCTTATACGGAGACAGAGATGGCAAATCCTATTTTAAGGAAATACTGCAAGTTGTCTGAGATTTGAGTAAATGAATATTAAGAATGAGTAAAGAAAGAAAATAAGAAAGAAAAAAGGGAAGAGGAAAGAAAAAGCAGAATCAGAGAGAGAAAGAAAGAAAATGAATAAAGGAAGAAGGACAAGAGAAATGAACTGAATAAAAAGAGTTGAAAGAAGAAGAAAGAAAGAATGAAAGAAAAGAGAGAGATGAAATAATAGAAAAGAAAGAAGATATCAATGGAAAAGAAAGCAGGAAGAAAGAAATAAAAAAAGGGAAAGGAAAATGAGACGGACTAGACAGAGATTAAATGGAAGCAAGAAGAAAGAAAGAAAGAAAGAAAGAAAGTGAGAAAGAAAGAATAGAAAAGCAAAGAAAGAAAGTGAGAAAGAAAGAATAGAAAAGCAAAAAAGAAAGAGACAGAAAAAGAAAGAGAGAGAAGGAAAAAAAGAAAGAAAGAGAGAAAAAGAAAGAAAGAAAGAAAGAGGAAGAGAGAAAGAAATAATAGAAAAGCAAAGAAAGAAAGAACAGAAAAAGCAAAGAAAGAAAAAAGAAAGAAAGAATGAAAAAAGAAAAATGAACTACACAGAGATGAAAGCAAAAAAAAAAATGTAAACAAGGAAAGAAAGAAAGAAAAGAAGAGAGGAAGAAAACGAAAAAGAAAAAAAGATAGATGAACAATATAAAGAGAGGAGAGAAAACGAAAAAAGAAAGAACGAATGAAAGAAAAGAGATGAAATATTAAAGTGTGATGAACGAAATAAAAGAAAAGGAAAAAAGAAAGAAATAAAACCTCATTTCCAAAGATCTCAAGACTAGAATTCTTTCTACCTTGATGATAGAATTGAAGTGTATCCAATTCTACCTCGAGACTTCTTGAGACGTTTTGCTGGGAATTGTTCAAGAAAGAGTGAAAGAGAAAAAAGAATGAGAAAAGAGGCAAAAGGAAATCTGTCCCTTGTCTCAATGGGACAAAAAAAAAGGATTTGCTGAAATTGCAAAAGTCCGTATCCAAGAATCTTGCTGTTGAGATTTTTCAAGTGTTTAAATAACCAGAATCTTTAAGATTCTTCGCAAAGAATTTCTGGAATTTTCTCAAAATTAATCTAAGCAAAAATCTTTTTTTTTTTTTTTACTGATATAAAGAAATTTAAGTTTATCTAAATTAGAGGTGAAATTTTGTCACGAATTTTTGGTTTATCTTCGCCTTATTTTTTAGCTTCAATGTTCTAGCATCTTCGCCTTATTTTTTAGCTTCAATGTTCTAGCATCTTCGCCTTATTTTTTAGCTTCAATGTTCTAGCATCTTCGCCTTATTTTTTAACTTCAATGTTCTAGCATCTTCGCCTTATTTTTTTAGCTTCAATGTTCTAGCATCTTCGCCTTATTTTTTAGGTTCAATGTTCTAGCTTCTTCGCCTTATTTTTTAGGTTCAATGTTCTAGCATCTTCGCCTTATTTTTTTAGCTTCAATGTTCTAGCATCTTCGCCTTATTTTTTAACTTCAATGTTCTAGCATCTTCGCCTTATTTTTTAGCTTCAATGTTCTAGCTTCTTCGCCTTATTTTTTTACTTCAATGTTCTAGCATCTTCGCCTTATTTTTTACTTCAATGTTCTAGCATCTTCGCCTTATTTTTTAGCTTCAATGTTCTAGCATCTTCGCCTTATTTTTTAGCTTCAATGTTCTAGCATCTTCGCCTTATTTTTATCTTCAATGTTCTAGCATCTTCGCCTTATTTTTTAGCTTCAATGTTCTAGCATCTTCGCCTTATTTTTGAACTTCAATGTTCTAGCATCTTCGCCTTATTTTTTAACTTCAATGTTCTAACATCTTCGCCTTATTTTTTAGCTTCAATGTTCTAGCTTCTAAACAATTAAGACCTAAGAGTCCCAACTATTTCAAATTTGAGATGATGGATTTCAGTAACACTTTCTGGACTGTCTTTGTTCCATCTTGTTTTTTTTTTATTACAATGTTCCATTCCATTAAAAGGATAATCTCGAATCGTTTGAATTCAGAAAGGACGCATTAAATTCAAATTTGGCAATCTACTCCTTCATCTTATTGTTGCTTTTGTCATAACTTTCTGCATTTTTTTTATCATTTCACCACAAACAAGTCAACAATGCCACTAGGACGCAATGGGTTACAGGGAAAGAATGAGAAGATTAAAAATGGTGAGGATTGAGGAAAGGGGAAAAGGACCAGCTTTCAAGAAGACAAAAATGGCGATTGAAGTTGCATTTAAATTTTTGAATATTGTAGTTATCATGAAAGCAAGAAATCGAAAGGGAGTTCCACAGGTAAGAAGTGCGGGAAGATAACTGTTACAAAATAAATAACAGTTGCATCTAGCTAGTTCAACAGTCAAATGGTGGGACCTAGTTGCCAATCTAGTAGAACGCTTAAATTCACACTCCAGTCATTTGAATTGTGAAGTAATTGACAATGTAAAACTAGCCTTCATCTTGTTGTTGTTTTTGTCATAACCTTCTTAATATTTTTTTATCATTTCACCCCAAGTAAGGGTTTACAGAGAGTCAAAGTGAATGAGAATGAGACATTTGAAAATGAGAAGGAAAACGCAAAAAAAGGGCAGGCTTCAAGAAGATAGATGATGATAATTGACGTTGCATTTAAATTATTGAAGATTGTAGTTATCAAGGAAGCAAGAAATCAGAAGGGAGTTCCACATGTGAGAAGTGCGAGAAGATAACTATTACAGTATAAATAACAGTTTCATTTAGGTAGTCCAACACTCAAACAGTGAGACCTAATTGCCAGTCGCTTAAATTCTCGCTCCAGACATTTGAATTGTGAAACAATTGACGATTATAACATTAACCTTCATCATATTACGATAACATTTGAGTTTCGGGATGAAGTATTTCACTATTAAAATGTGTTAGCCCTCTTCACATTATGTTACTTTTTATCACACATTTTCGAATTGCCTTTTAACATCCGATCACTCAAGTTTCAGTAACGTCCAGTCTGGTCAGTGCCTAAATGGCCGACCGCTTGGGAATACCAGATTCTGTAAGCTTGGGTGTGCGGGTGGTGTAGATTGTTAAAGTCTTGGAACGAGGAATCTAAGAGACATGACATACCATTTGTAAACGGTTGTTATCGATACCTGCCTACTTTATGTTTCCCTGTCTACAAGCTTAAAAGGCGCACCCCGTGCTGACTTTTAAGCAACCTCCTGTGGTGTGTGGAGGGCTGATTGGGCCTCAGGCCAAATACTAAAGGGATCTCTGGTCTAGCTTAGAGAACAGAACAGAAATGATAATTTTGAAGAAATAACTTTGAATTCATCAATTCACTTAATGGAACTTCAAAACATCATTTTAACAGGCAAAAATTCTGATGCAATTCAGAAAAGTTTGATTTTCAAATGCAAAGTCCGTGAAATTTCAATTGTGTCGAGTTCTTCAAATGACAAACTCCATGATTTAGGCTTCAAAATTCCAATTCAGGTCGAAAATTGAGTTCTTCAAATGACAAAGTCCGTGAAATTTCAATTGTGTCGAGTTCTTCAAATGACAAACTCCATGGAATTTCAATTGTGTTGAGTTCTTCAAATGACAAAGTCCGTGAAATTTCAATTGTGTCGAGTTCTTCAAATCAAAGTCCGTGAAATTTGCAGAATTTCTTCAAAACCTTTCAATTGTGTTGAGTTCTTCAAATGACAAAGTCCGTGAAATTTCGTTTCGAAAACCAAATGACAAAGTCCGTGAAATTTCTCATTTTTCAACCCTGATTCTTCAAATGACAAAGTCCGTGAAATTTCAATTGGCATTTTCAAAGAAAAACTAAAAATGATTTTCAAATGACTCAATTCAAAAGTTTTGGAGATATTTTGAGTTCTTCAAATTCAAAAGTCCGTGAAATTTCAACTGAATTTAAAACAAACTCCATGGTTTTTGTGTTGAGTTCTTCAATGACAAAGTCAAATGATTTTCAATTTAAATCATATATAAATTAAAAACTTTTAAAATCATTTTAATTTTTTTTTCAGTAAAAAATTTTAAAATTTGAATTTTTAAACTGTTCCTTTCTTTTCCGGAATCATATAAAAAAAACTTTTAAAATACTGGATTTTAACTGTTCCTTTCTTATCAAGCAGCAGATGAAGTTCAGATTTTCAATCCTGAGATAACCCAGGTTTTAAAAAGGTATAAAATGTCTATGTAGAGTAAGTTCAGCCCAAGTTAGAGGGGTTTCAGATACAGAGACAGATAGACAGAAATTGCCGTTTATTTATTTAGATTTTGCTAAGTGAATGTAGGTGGTACGACTCGGATTGAGGAACCGGAGAGCCGAGTTCGAATTCCAGTCGGATCCATTATATTCATTTACATGCTAGTACCCCTGAGAAAGATATGAATCCTTTTCTTCTCCACCCCCCTAGCTATGGTTAAATAACAGGACAGACTTGGTGCAGGAGAAAGAATCTCTGAATTGAAATCGTCCTGGAAAGGGTTCGGCTCGCTCAGGTTATCTTACCCAAGAAACACGACTTTTACTGAGCCTGGGATACACGTGGGGACCCTACAACCCCTGATAGATGAAGCTGAATGTATTTTACTGTTTCAAATAAGAGGTTTTTTTTTAAGCTGAGAAAACACTTCGGAAAACGTGTACTTGTGCATAAAAACGATCCCGCCTTTTTGCCTCTAATTTTTGTTCAAAGTGTCTCGTATTATGCACAAGACAATACGGTAGTAACACAAGGGAGGAAGTTGTGGAGATCCAAGATCACTTGATATTGAGGCTGAACTTTGGAATGTAGCGATTCTGAAAACAACTTTCTAAATTTTATAAAGGAAACTTCCCAAAAAGTTTGGTGTGTTGCGCATTAATGTTCTATAGAAACAAAAAAGGTGGTCCTCAAGACCGTCGCACATATTGTGGTATCCCCAGTTGGATGGTTCTAGGACAGTTGTTTATTGGAAAACTGCGTACCAAACAATTGCGTCCTTGGACATTTATGTCCCTAGACAAATTCATCCCTGGATAATTACGTACCTCTGATAATTTTTTGAACCTTTTAAAAGCAATTGTGATAAATTTAGAAAAAGTATAGGTAGCAATCATAAATTAAAAAAAAAAGGTATAAAATAAAAAAAAAAAAATTGAAAGTTCATTTTTGTTTAAATTGAAATGTCAGATTAACAGTGTTGCAAGATTGCTCCACACAACGCCAGTATATTTTTGTTTCATCGGCGTTGTTCTTATAAAAATGGTTGTTGTAATTTTCCACGTCCACAAATATTTTCCACCTGTGTTTGATTTTCGGAACTTAGCGATGGGTTCCAAATAGAAATGTAATCTATAAAATCCAGAATCTGTTAGATGTTTTTTGGTATGCACTGCTGGAGTGAAACTGTTAGCTTAATTTTCTCTTGCTTTAAAAAAATAAATATTTCTCTCTTTTTTTATGGTAACTTCCTATTTCTTTCTTTTTTTAGGGAACTTCCTTTCTGCTTGTTTGGAGTAAATGAAGGTATTGGTGTGCATATTTCTATATTAAATAACTCTTTAAAAAAAAAGGTAACTTCAAAACATTATCAGAAT